CTATTATAGAAAGGGAGGGGGGCTCTGTTACTTCCTGTACATTAACACAAGAAATACAAACTCTTCAAGATTTGCTACATTTAAAATGGTGCTTTTAAGGGTCATTGAAAAATCAGGAAGTACATGTGAGACAAGAGAGAGAGAAGGAGATAGAGATAAAGATAGACAGAGATAGAAAGAGAGAGAGGGAGAGAGAGAGAGAGATCCCTCTGAACAGTGTTTAAATGAAGCTGGCAGCTCAACACAGAGTCAGTGCTGAATTAGTACCTCTGTGCGCTTGACAGAGTGTTTACAGACTCGGCCAACAGGAACACTGCTCTGTTTGTAATTGAAAAAGAAAATGGGGATCGGGGGCGGTGGGTGGGGGGGTGGGGGGGGAGCACAGAGCTCCTTCCTCCTGCCGGCCCCTGGACTGAGACGGAGCAGGCACAGAAGGCTGTGTGGCACGATGAGCCTGCTGTTATTTAATCGGACAGGCTCGCTGAACATATAGGCGTCTAGTTGACTCCAGAACCAACGAGGACCCAAAGGAGGGAGAAGGGGCTCGATGATGAGACACGGGATGCGGAGGCGTCACACAGCACACATTCTGGAGCAACCCTTTCACGTTTATCCAAACGCAAATCTTAGTTACAGGACGTGGCCGCCCACGGCCTTCCGGCGGGCCACAGTCCGTAAGAAGCCCCCTAAAATGCAGGTCGCTGCCTCTGACATCCCTTGTTTGGTGTTTTTGTTTTGCTGCAGTTCTCGGCCGGATCTCTCTGTTCCCACACAACTGCGGTAGGAAACGAATGTGTAGAATGAGCAGCCCGGTCTCCAGGGGGCTTCCTGCGCTCACCCATAATGCCGTTTGCTTTCCTTAGCGGGTCTTTTTTTTACAACACCAGCATGGTATCAGAACGGACTTCCTCTCACAGCAGGTCCCTTCGAGGGGTACGAGGCGTGCAGGTGGTCCGATATAGGATGCCCTTCTGCTTTTAAGTGCTAAAAAAAGACACATTGATATCTGAGAGGGCTTTCTTCTACGGCCAGACCACGCAGATCACCACCTCAAGCCCGAGCTTTCACAGTAAATGCGCCAAGAGGCGGCTCGTTCGTCCCCAGACAGTTTTCATGAGGAAGTTCTGCCTGAAGTGGTTTTGGGAGCACATGGACTCTAGTGGACTTCCTGGTTGAGTTTTTGGTCATGTGACCATCCGGGACACGGGGTCAGGAATGATGGCAGGGGGAGAGTAGCGACATCGCAGGAGACAAGCGAAGTGCATGCAGTCTGTAGAGGTGCAGTTAAACAGGCTGACATTAACCCCTTCCTCCTAAAAAACCACAGGTCTTCTTAACCAGAATCCAGAAAACTTGCTTTTTTCCATCAAGGTTATTTACCCATAAGGACAGGACCTGTGTGACTGGTCACCCTCACTGCTTGTTAAGGGTACAATATCTCCCTTCGCCTGGGGCAAACTAGCAGTTAGTCTGCACCCTACTCCCATAACCAGCTCAGAGGACAGGCAGGGGATTCACACACCGGGAGCGGACAGACTGGGTGGGGGGCGGGGGGGGTCACCGTTCGCTGTGACGACTGACTTCCTGTCATGCTGGCGCACAGTAGCACGAGGGCCCAACTGGTTTAAATGCAGCGAAGAGCTGACTCAAAAGTACTGATTTTTCTGTTGGACTATAGGAGGAAATGGAAGCATCTAGAAGAAAACCTCACACGATCTCGGGGAGAACAGAGCAGGGATCGAACCCGTGGCCCTGGGGGAGTGTGACTGTAGCCAAAGAGGGGTATCGCCTCAGTTTTTTTATTGTCAAAAGGCACAGGGGTGTCGCAGGCGTCCCATCATGGTGGAATCTGCCCCGTCCCCTGACAAACCCTGGGGTGCACCTACACAGGATCTCCACCAGAGGCGCTGTTCGGAGAACTCACCAGTCGCTCCTGCTGAAGCTGCTCCCTCAGGACGCGGTCTTCCGGAAGGGAGTCACACAGCAGGAAGTACTTCTCTTGCTTCTCTGAAATGACAAGTTGGCGGAGGCTCAGACAGGCCGCGGGGGAAGGCTCCGGCGACTGCGGGCGGAGCGCGTATCCGGCGGTTTGAAGTCCATCGCATATTAACTCTCATTTCCCTTTAATACCAAACAGATGCCAGTAAAGGTGTCTGTGGCGTCTCGCCTCTGCGGACCCCAGGGACTGGTTTGCGGAGGAAAGGCGCTTTGCACCTCCTCGCCCCCTGATGGACAGAGGAGCCGCAGGCTTCTTTCTGCGGGTCCCATCGCATTTTGCCGATTCCACCACTTCAGTTCCAGGTCTAGTTCTGTGTGTCCCCATGAAACCACATTACACCAGGGGTGTATAAAGGGGCACTGGCTCTAGCTGAAAGCTGACCGGCCCTCACAGTGCCCCCTCCCCCATCACTGACCAATTCATTGGCTAATGATAAGGCTGGCCCCTCCGGATGAGTTATGTCCCCATTAGCACCCGCTGAGGTGGCTGGGGCGCCGGTCGTTTCCATGGCAGCGGAGACAAGCTGCCCGACTCCTTCAGAACTCTGCTGGTCTGCTACAGATCAACCTGATCGGGCCTTTCGTCTAAACTACATCTGGCAAAGACTATGTGTGCAATATAGGCAGAGACTGTGGCAAAGTGTAAAGTGGGACTAACAGGAAGTCCCCACAGCGACCTAAGCACTGTAAGTGTAGCCCATTGTGAGTCACCCCCCCGCCCCCCCCAAAAATAAACTGGTTTCCTGGAAGAAGGACTTATATAGACCTGCACTGCATCAAAACCTTTATTCCGGATGCTCATCCTCCATCTCATGCTTTGTTTGTTCTATTCACCACCACCCCCCCCCCCCCCCCCCCCCCCCCCCCCCCCCC